TACCTTCTTTATCTCCTCCGACATTAGACCAAGCCTCTCCGACAATAACTCTAGTCTATGTCTATCGCCGTTCATAATTATTAATTTGCCTCAATTGCCATAAATTCATTAGATCTGAATATCACATGCTATTTTTTAGAAAAACATCATGATTCAAAGTATTTTTTTTTTTATAATTGATATGATATAACATCTTTAAGAAATTAGTTTGCTTGATGAGAAAATATGAGATAATCTATTTGTTTATATAAAGGTGACTATTTACTATCTTTTTCTTATATGATTAATAACTGATTGTATAATTTTCTTAATTTTTTTTCTAATTTTAAATCTTCTTCTTGTACAGTTAGTAACTTATAAATAAAACGTTTAGCATAATTTTATAATTTCGAATTTTATGAAAATATATATATAAATTCCTTATATATATGTATAATTTTCTTATTATAATCTTTTTATATTTTTAAAACTGTTTTAATTTATAATTTCGTTATAATTATCTTGTAAAAACAAAATTTTTGTTTGTTAGATGGCAAAAACTCTTATGGAAATATATGTACAATTTATTTATAATTAGCTTTTTACATTTTAAAACTGTTTAAATTTATACTTTTTTATAATTATCTTTTTACTTTCTTTTTTTTTAAAAGGAAAATTTTATTTTGACACATGTCAAAATCTCAGATCGAAAAATTTGACACGTGTCACGACTTCGTGAGTTACTTTGAAAACCATACTTTATATAATAAGATTTCAAACACTCTGCTCACTTAATTAGGACAATTTTACCCTTATCTTATTAATTGTTCTCACTTTCCCGTTTTTTTCATTTTCTCTTATATTATTTCTTCAGTTTTTATCACATCCCCTTTGTCATGATAAATACATATGATAATGTTTATGTTAGTTGATATCAACCATATAATAAATAATTTAACACAATATATATTAATTTATCACACATAACGACAGTGATAATTTTATCAATGGTGATGGGTGATGATGATACCGACATTGATAATTTTACAGGCGGTGGTCATAGTTAAAATAGCATCAGAGAGAGTATGGCGGCTAAAATATTTCATGGTGGATTGAATGGATTGAGCTACGGGGTTCAAGACTTTGGCGGAATTATGCAATGAGAAATTTGCCAATTAGAGTTTTGATGAGGTTAATCGATCAAGATAGAGGAATGAGTATCGTCGACGACAACGACCATTGTCACATTTTTTTGGATTCAATTCTATAGTACGGATAACAATTTAATTAGCAACGATATAAAATGCTAACATATCTTAAACACAACAATTATATTATCATGATAAATGAATATGCTAATGTATAAGTTAACGAAAATGATCAAATTATTATAGTAGATAAACATGGTAATACAGAAGTTAGCTTATATAAACATATAATAAATGTTGTAACACGATAAATGGTAGTTTATCGCGTAACTTGTAAACTTATCGGATATAATATGATTTATCATGTTAATCATGTAAGAGAAAGACTAATCCTTTTTTATTGAATTAATATATACATAAATAAAAAAACATTAATTGTTAATTTTAAATCGATAATCATTCATTTAACACATAATGTGTAAATTTATCGTGATAGCAAATTATTTAGCATATTAAACGAATAATAGATATAATGCTAACAATATAGTTAACTATCTAAAACCGCAATTGATTCATCACCGGAAATTCGACCAGAGTACTGTCGGGATCTATTTGAAATGTTAATCTCGTCGATAACTATTTTATTATATCGCTAAACAATTTATTACATGCGGAAGGGTATTTTCGTCCAACGTATACAAGTTGATGAGAGAGATCTAATTATACAAAAAGCACGTATATATTCTTAATTTTTCAGTTATTTGGGTATTTAGATTAAATTAACTCTATATTGAATTAGTATGGTTTTCTATCGGGTTTAGTTTGTAAACTGATTAAACCCAGTTTCATGGGGTTTTAGTTCTCGAACTATTGATTCGGGGACATTAAGTTATGGAACTTTCAATTGATGGGGAAATAGAGATAGAACTTTGATTTTATGAACATATGGATCGGGGTTAAAGTTTGGGCTCTATCTGGTATAAAGTCATATTTCTCGCGGGAAAATAGACCGTTTTTCCATTCTTTAGTGTCAATTTTGAGTTAAGAACTTGTGGAGCTAGACAATGTGTAGTTTGGGGAAAAACGGTCTATTTTCCCACGAAAACTATCGCATCACACCAGATAGAGCCCAAAGTATGACCTCGATTTATATATCTCCGAAACAAAAGTTATATATCTATTTCTTCCCGAAACAAAAGTTTTATATCTAAATCTCTCCAAATTAATAGTTCTAGATCCATAAACCCAAAATATTGGGTTTCGTCGGTTTACTATTTACTTAACCTATTATTAAAAAAACTAAACCCAATTAAACCAAAGAAAACCAGATTCCGTTGAGACACGGTGAGACACGGTGAGAGAGAGATATTCTGCATTGTCTTGAAGAGCAAAGTGTTGTGTTAGAGCTGCCCTTATTTCTCCATTTGCAACACCAGCTAATTAGAGTATCCAAGATCGAAAAAAAGTTAAAACTCGCTGTATTAATCAAAGCAGAAGTCTTAAACTTCAATGTTTGATGCAAGTAATGAAACTCACTAAATGATCTTGATAGGCTCCCTAAGCAAACCACAACGATAATGGAAACAAAGGTGAAAGAAGGTGAGAAGGTCCATTAGCATTTCTCCAATAAAAGCAACAAAGCTTGTAGTCATTCAACTGAGAACCAAATACGGGCAATTATTTTCAACCGAGAACCAAATACGGGCAATTATTTTCGAGTGTGAATGTGGAATTAAGATGGGTTTTATGATTCTCACCATTTTAGATGGATGATGAAGCGAGAGAGAGAGAGAGAGAGAGAGAGAGAGAGAGAGAGAGAGAGAGAGAGAGAGAGAGAGAGAGAGAGAGAGAGAGAGAGAGAGAGAGAGAGAGAGAGAGAGAGAGAGAGAGAGAGAGAGAGAGAGAGAGAGAGAGAGAGAGGCGTGACAGAGATGAAAGAGAGAGATTAGAAAAATTTGTTTTTTTCTCGTTTAATTGGATTTAGTTTCTTTAATAATCGGTTAAGTAAATAGTAAACCGACGATAAACAAGATTCTAGGTTTATAGATCTAGAACTATTAATTCAAAGAGATTTAGATACGCGGGCTTAGGCCCAGTGGGCTAGTCGGATCACTGTGTGGTCTGGACACTGGGTTATCAAAAAAAAAAAAAAGAGATTTAGATATAGAACTTTTGTTTCGGGGAGAAATAGATATATAACTTTTGTTTCGGAGATATATAAATCGAGGTCATACTTTGGGCTCTATCTGGTGTGCTACGTTTGGTTAATGAAAAGTACTTGTTGAGCTAAAAAGAGAGAAAAAAAAAAAATTGATCGGAGTGTCTCACTAAGGCCATCTGCACTGGCACAACTGCTGGGGTGATCTTGAGTAAGACTACTTACAATGGCTCAGTTGAATAAAAAATTCAACTGTTTAATACACACAGTGGTGTGTTGAAGAATAAGTTGAATCTGATGTGGAGTTTTTGGTGTTGAATTAACACGTTGAATCGAAGAATGTGGGACAAATCCAAGCCATGTGGCACATTTTGATTGGATGAAATAATTATTAAATATTAAAATATAGATAAATATATGTGCTGCTTTTTGATTGGTTATTCAGATTTTTGGTTTGTTTTTCTCAACCAATGATTTAACATCAAATAATTCATAGTAAATTAAATATATTTATATTTTTTTATATATCAAAATTCATCATTTCTCATTATCTACAAATAGAGACTTGTTTCATTTGATTTGGACATAGAAAAAAAATCCGTCATTTAACCTTGATTAATCTTTAATAAAATCTTGTTTTTAGCTTTTAAATATTTTTTTAGTGAAATAGATCCCAACAATAACTCTTTTAACACTCAAAATTCTGCTAATTACCTTTTTAACTACTAAAATCCCAATATCTATCAATTTCATAATCACACATAGTAACTATAGTTTTTTCAATTATTCTACAATAAACTCTTATTTAAATTTTTAAACATCTTCTTTAATAAAATGAATCCTAACAATAATATTTTTAACACCCAAAATTATTTGGTTCAATTATTTCGACTTGTTGAATTGTACAAGAGAAGATAAAATTATGACACGTGGCATTCATTAATTGGGTGAAAAAATTGCGTTTAGATAAAAATATAGATAAGAATACGTGTTGTCGTTTTGAATTTTTCGTAATTTTATTTGTTTTAATAATGACTCTCTCTCTATTTTCGTTTTTCTTATTTACATTTTTAGTTAAAAACATAAAATTTAAATAAACTAAAAATAAAAAATATTTAACTCTTAATTACGCTAATTAAAATTTAAGCGATAATCGTTATTAATACCTAATCGAAAAAACTAAAACATAAAAGAAATTAAAAATAATGAAATAAAAAGAGGTGGGGTAGGGTGTTGAATTTTATTAAACAAACCATTGTAGGGTGTAAAATTTTAGTGGATGTTGAATAATTAGGTGGAAAAGAGAGAAGATGATGTGGAAGAGAGAGATATGATGTGGAGGGTGTTGAATGTTGAAACCAATGTACATAGTCTAATAAAAAAATAGAAAAAACTCCAACAGTAGAGCATTTGAGCAAGATCTCATCTTGAGCGGGATCTGATCTTGAGCTGATCTTGAGCATTTTTCTCTGTCTCTCTCTTACCTCCTCATATAATATCATTATATATATATAATATTATTATAATAACTTTAAGATCAGTTGCTCCATTGTAGATGGCCTAATGTTAAGGGTTTTACTATAGAGTCCCTAAATTTTACAATTGTTTCCACTTTGTGCCAAAATAATAATAAAAAAAAAATACAAAATTCAAATGCTGGTTGGGTTTAGGGTTTAAAGATTGTCTCATCTTCTCCGATTACTCTGTTTCCCTCTGGAAATCAAATCGCCATTTTTGATGCGGTTTTCTCCAACGTTCTTCTTACTCTCACAGTTGCGATTGACTCGAAGAGCAGCCACCTCTTGGCGTTTCTACGCCGTCTCTGCTCTCAACAACCCTAACAATCTCTCAGATTCTGAACAACAGGTGAATCATCTTAATCTCTCCAAGCTTACTCAATATGGTCTTCAGCGACTCCTGAATAGTGCCAGAGATGACCCAAATCTCGCTTTGTCGTTTTTGCGACAGCTTAAAGAACATGGTGTTTCTCCTAATGTTAATGCTTACGCAACTCTTGTCAGAATTCTTACTAGTTGGGGTTTGGACAGGAAGTTAGATTCTGTGTTAGTTGAACTAATTAAGAACGAGGAGCGTGGTTTCAGTGTAATGGATTTGATTGAAGTTATTGGAGAAGAAGAAGCTGAGGAAGATAAACGGTCTTTGGTTTTGATTCGAGTCTCTGGTGCTTTGGTTAAAGCTTATGTTGGTCTCGGGATGTTCGACGAGGCGATCGATGTTTTGTTTCAGAGTAAACGGTTGGATTGTGTTGTCGATATTAAGGCGTGTAATTTCTTGATGAATCGTTTGATTGAGTTTGGGAAAATTAGTATGGTGGTGGCTCTGTTTAAGCAACTTAAGCAGTTGGGGTTGTGTGCAAATGAGTACACGCATGCGATTGTGGTAAAGGCGTTGTGTAGAAAAGGTGATTTAGAAGGAGCAGCTATGTTGCTTCTGGAAAGTCCGAGCGTGTTTGCTTATAAGACTTTCATTGACGGACTTTGTGTCAATGGAGAGACAGAGAAAGCTGTTGTTTTGATTAAAGAAATGTTAGATATGAATTCTCTGGCTGGTGATGACCTTAGAACTGTATTTGGTATGGTGGTTCGCGGTTTTTGTAATGAGATGAAAATGGAAGCTGCTGAAAGTGTTATTCTTGAAATGGAGAAAAATGGGTTTGGTCTTGATGTTTATGCTTGCTCAGCGGTGATTGATCGATATTGCAAGAGTATGAATTTACCTGAAGCATTGGGGTTTTTAGATAAAATGTTGGGAAAAGGACTGAAAATAAATTGTGTGATTGTTAGTTCGATTCTTCATTGCTATTGTAAGATGGACATGTGTTTGGAAGCGTTAGAGAAGTTTAATGAATTTAGAGACATGAATATTTTCCTTGACAGAGTTTGTTACAATGTCGCATTTGATGCGTTGAGCAAGCTTGGGAGAGTGGAAGAAGCTATTGAGCTTCTCCAAGAAATGAAGGATAAAGGAATTGTTCCTGATGTCATCAACTACACAACTCTGATAGATGGCTATTGCCTTCAAGGTAAAGTTGTTGATGCCCTTGATTTGATTGATGAAATGATAGGAAATGGTACCTCTCCTGATTTAATTACATACAATGTGCTTGTCAGTGGATTGGCCAGGAATGGCCATGAGGAAGCGGTACTTGAGATTTATGAAAGAATGAAAGCTGAGGGTCTAAAGCCTAATGCTGTCACTGACAATGTGATCATTGAAGGCTTGTGTTTTGCACGTAAAGTAAAAGAAGCCGAAGATTTCTTCATGAGTCTAGAGCAAAAATGTCCAGAAAATAAAGCCAGTTTGGTGAAAGGTTACTGTGAATCTGGCCTTTCTAAAAAGGCCTATAAACTATTCGTTACATTGGAATACCCTCTGCGCAAGAGTGTGTACATCAAATTATTCTTTAGTCTATGCATTGAGGGTTGTCTCGACAAAGCTCATGCCGTACTGAAGAGAATGTGGGCTTATCGAGTTAAACCTGGGAGGAGCATGTGTGGCAAAATGATTGGGGCGTTGTGTAGGTTAAATAATGCGATAGACGCCCAGCAGTTATTTGACACAATGGTTGAGAGAGGACTCATCCCTGATCTGTTTACTTATACAATCATGATTCACACCTACTGTAGGCTAAATGAGTTACAGAAAGCCGAGTCTCTTTTTGAGGACATGAAGCAGAGAGGAATAAAACCTGATGTGGTAACATACACAGTTTTACTTGATAGGTACCTGAAGTTGGATCCAGAGCATCATGAAACAGGTTCTGTTCAAGGAGAAGTGGGAAAAAGAAAAGCTTCAGAAGTTTTGAGAGAATTCTCAGCCTCTGGTATTGGACTAGACGTTATAAGCTATACAGTTTTGATAGATCGTCAGTGCAAGATGGACAAGCTAGAACAAGCCGCTGAACTTTTTGATCGAATGATAGACAGCGGGCTGGAGCCTGATATAGTGGCTTACACAGCTCTAATATCTAGTTATTTTCGGAAAGGATACATAGATAAGGCAGTCACACTTGTTACCGAACTGTCAAAAAAGTATAATATACCGACTGAACATTTTGAGGCTGCAGTTAAGCATGCTGCTTTGAAGGCGAAGAGATTTCAAAATGGGGAATGAAGGGTTATAATGAGTGTAAATTTTGGAACGTCAAGTGTGTGGCTTTGGTGAACTATATTGTACATGGTGTATTCATCACATTTGGAGGTAAAAGGTAGAATTCAGCACATTGAGAAGAATCTTTGGATCTGCATCTGCATAAAGGAGGGACTTTTGAAGAATGATTATGAAAATGCGCTTCTTACATGACTTTACTCTGGTAAGAGTTGTTTCTTCTCCCAACTTTGGCTGAAGTACAAACTCCATGCTATAGGAATGGATGCAATCCGTGGACAATGCGAAGGATGAAGTCAACAATGCTTATTCTGGTCAGTTCAAATGCTGCTTTTATCTATTATAATCAAGTTTATCGACCAGATAGTTTCTATCATAGGAGTGATTGTATACTCAATGCCATAACCAAACCAAAGGATCTATCTGTAATCCTGAAGCATGATTAATAACTAATTACTACTAATACTTAACCCTCAGTTTATTCATAACCTCCCAAAATGGTCTCCATTTTCATTGTCACGTATACTGCGATAAAAATAAGCCTGGTCTTCTGAGTTCTGAGAATACATTAATAGACCTTGGTTGGTTTTGTGATCGCACATCCTAATAAGAGAGATGATCTGTTTTCTTTTTGCGTAGAGAAGATAAATGTGGAAGATCAGTTTCTGCTTGTGAGGACTGAGGTATAGAGAGTACAATAAAGACATTCAGAGTTTGTGAACGCTGCAACCTCAGTCATGAATCAAATAGACTTGATTTTGGTGACGGAGGGAGCAGGCAATAACCCCGAAGGCTTGGGCAGGAAAGCTATGTTATCCAAATGGTCATTGATGAGCTCTGTTTGTCAGGGCGAGATTGCTGATTTTGATATGTGAACTCACATATGAGACTTGAGTGTTGCTAAATCCACAGAGTGGGATTGAGGATGACGCGCCGCTGAAAGAGATTGAGAGAGAGAGAGAGAGGCTGAGAGGCAGAAATCCTGAAGAGATATTAACTGGCAGATGGAGTAGCAAAAACGTCAACTGTTTGATTATCAGTTATCTAAATTCTAAACAATGGTTGTAGGACGATACATCATTAATGGTCATTAGTGTTTGATGTCTTTGTGGCTTTTAGCTCCAACGAATTTCAAATACTCTTTGGATTGGTTTACGTTTTTACGGAATCTCGCAATTCTTTTGTAGAGATAACTTGTTTTGATCTCTCACACATTGGCTTCGTCACTTTGGAAGAGATAACTTGTTTTGATCTATTCACCCATTGGATTGATTACCATCAAACTCTCGGCATTCCGAACCCAGACTATATATCTTTCTTCTCTTCAGTTGGCTTTTAGGGAGAGATATACATTGAACAGACTAAGCTGACAATATTTCATTTACATTGCCAAGTTTGATCAATCAGAGATTTTGAAAGAAAGAAAAAGGAGCTGGAAGTGACTTTGCACATAGTTGAACAACTAAACACAATTCTTAAGATTTAGTTTTCTTCTCTGATTCAGATATATATAAAACTAATATCTTCTTGGTAACTACTACTTACCTCACTTTCTAAGACGGAATCCAAAAAAAAAAATTACAATTACCTAAGGAGATCAATGGACTTGGAAGAGAAGTTCCATGTTTAATGGCCTCTCCTCTACAATAATCATACACTTAATTCGTAGTGGTAATGACTGCAAGCCACATGATCTCCACACAATGAATTGGTCAAGCTTCTAAGATTTGATCGTGATTTGCAGTTTTGCCATTCATAATTTTGCAGTTTGGGTTTTTGAGCTCAGCTCACAAACCTCGAATGTAAGAAGCAGATAGATTGGCTAAAAAAAAGGCCGTGAAGAAATTGTTACCATCAGGGAAGAAAAGTAAAAACTTAGAAGATTATCTCCATGTGAACTTGTTGTATAAGTAAACAAATACAAAGTAATTCGATTCCCATTTATATCAATTAAGGCATAAAACTAAAATCTTTCCTGTGTTTGCTTAGTTTAACGAGGGGAGATTTGCAAGAGCATCCCTGGATTTTCTCAACAACGACTTGGCTTCTTCACTCTTCTCGAGTTCAAGTAAAGAGACAACCTCAGCCTTGAAATCTACTTCCACGGGATGCAAAGACGAGACTGTGCTATACAGTTCGATGAGCTCGAGCAGGCATTGGGAAGCAGCCACATGAAACTGAGGTTTTTATGTCCAAAAACATTCAATTAGGATTTAGTTAAAAGACAAGATAGATATCTTGTGAAATTACTACAAAAGACATTTGGTTTTCTTAATCATCATATTCTGGTCATGCAAATAATAGTATGAAGATCATCAAAACGAATCCAAAATGCAAACATAGGAATTGAATACAAGCCAGAGAAGAACATACCTGTGCTATCTTCACAGTGTGAATGCATTCCAGTAGTTTAGGAACTAGTGAGTGAAATAACTGAAAAGCAAGCAGAAAACTTAATTTCCAGTTCAAATTATACACACGTGGGGTGATAACTGTAGATGTGATTAATTACCTCATGAACGAATTTTGTCGCATCACTAGGTGAAAGGTCATCCATGGAGTCAGTCCATAGACTCTGAAACCTTGAACAAAGCTTTCCCACACATGAAATTCCAGACATTTTTACTGCCAATGGAAAATCAGATTAGTAAAAGTAATCATAAGTTTACTGGAAGATAAAGTGAGAGAATAAACCAGTACCAGTCCACAGAAAACCAGGTGATAAGGAAATTAAAAGAACATGAATCAAGTTTGCTTTCGCGCTAAGAATATCATCTATAGTTGCCACTTGGATGCAAGACTTGACGCATTCCATAATTTTTTCAAGTGGGACTTGTCCGTCTTCTCCGTTTTCTGATTCTGAAAACAAAATGCAGACTGTTCAGAGTACTGATACAATTTTCTGATGCTACATGACCTATCTCTTATATGAGCTGTTCAATGAGGTAAGGGGTTTTCATTTCCTCGATCAACTTTCGGTTTATTGTTAAACAAGCAATGCTTGACGAGCATCTGCCTATCTCTACCCCAAATTTCCTAATCTATGTTAATAATCACCCAGCTGGATGAGACAAAAACACAAGAACTAACAGTTACTACTCAACATATTAGGGATCAAATGTAACCACACAAATGATGCAAAAGTGTTATCAATCGAAGCATAAGGCTAATGGGATTGTAGAGTGGTCGTGTAAGAACCTGTTTTGACAGTATCACTTGTTGCCTGAACTTGGGTGCTCGTTTTGACAGAGGCAGTACTACACATCTCATACAACATCGGGAAAACGGCATGGAAAAACTTTGGATCGCCAAAAGCTATTATGACCTGATAAAATATAATCAAAATATTCACAGATCCACTAACCGAAATGCTTTGTAAGAACTGCATTATTAGCAGATTTAGATATCATGATTGATCTCAAAAAATTTGCATAGTAACCACAAATAGTCTTTTAGTTACCTTCTCCAGACAAGAAAAGGCTGACTCGCGATATTTCTTGAGTTTCTTTTTGCATGCAGAACAGATAAGACTCAAGATGGTAGTGGGAGTTGTTGGGTCCTCCTTAGTTATTGCCTCGTGGCAAGCGACAGAAAGAGCACCTAGGGCATCCAAAAGAGCATCCTTTCCCTGCAGTCAGAAGTATTGATTTGAAAAACTACTGCAACAAAAGTGCCTCTATACACACACCAGCTCTATCCATCCATAGGGACAAGTAAAGCAGCTGCAGCTCTTAATGGAGCAACAAAGATAATGCTTCTCTCGAAATTCAATTAATCTGCTGCTACGATATCTCAAATAACTTTTTGTGAACCTTCAAGGAAAAGGAAAATAAAAATATTAAATGAAGCTTGTCCCACCTCCCATAATCGTCCAGGAATTTCATTGACAAGACATTGCAGCAATCTCTTGTGGTGTGGAGATAATGATTCACCCAAGACTTCAGCTAGTTTGCATATCGCCTTACCAGACTGAAAGAAAGTTTAAATCTTCTATGAGTAAAACAGCGGAAATATAATTAAGAAACAATGAAGAGAGAAAACTGGCACGAGAAAGATAAAAAAAGTTGCCTTTTTCTTGCTTGCCCATGATGATGATGTGATGCTCTCGCAAATATGATTCACAATTTCTTGCAGAAACAACTGTAGTGTGACCCTTTCACCACTTGTGATATCTTCCCACACCTCCTCAAAGAGACTAGAAATTTGTTTTTCATCCTCAAATCTGAAATTTATAGTCATAGTAAGCTTCTCATGTATTGTCAAATAGAAGGAAAGAATTTTGATTCTATAAGGAGTTTCTTAGGCTACGGAAAGGTTTTAAAGATGGGACAAAACAAATCTGCCAAATATTTGCAAGAGAAAAATATACCATGTGACCCAAATTGCAAAATACTCTTCGGATCTTACTTGGGGATGGTATTTGAACATGATATCAGTCATTTTCAGATTTCAAGTTCCTTGTGTAAAATATATCACATGCATCAGACTCAGCAGTATGCAGTTACAATGGTTTACCTGGAAATAAATATAGCTGGAACAATAGCCGACTGGTGACTGCTCATAATATCAGAAGCTGTAGATGAGAAGCTTTTGAAAAGACTCGCACATGCGATCTGGGAGCTTCTATCACCAGAGTGCAGAGCTGCAGTTTCTTCGATTAAGCTTTGAGCTTGAGAGGGGCTAGAATACTTCAATACAATGCCACAAGCACTCGAAAAGGCACGTTTTGCAGAAGAACTTTTCTCCTCCTTGGCAACAGGAAACAAAAGTTTTAGCAGCATTCCAGTGAACGGCTTTATCTCGGTACCGACTTTTTGAACTAGCAATGAGATAAAGCTGGCAACACCAACCCTGTCAAGAAAAATGAAATTTTCAAAAAATATCAACCTCTACAATTGATTACATGAAATCTAATAAAACGAGACAAAACTCCTACACTACGCTTAAAGCAGTACACGAGTCTATTGAGACGGTCTGCATTCATGAAAAATGGAGGAGAAGGTATGGAATTGTGTCACTAATGTTAAACCAATCGGATGGTTAAAGAAGTTAAACAAGTCCATTGAAGCAGTCTGAGTTCATGAAGATGAGCGACAAGGTATGGAATTACATCACTTATATTACACCAATTGAATGTTTAAAATTACTTAGCCTACCTTATGTGAATTCACTTCTCTCTCGAGAACTTTTTACAAGTCACAAAAAGAATCATATCCCCTATTTAATTCCCTAAATCTTTTTTTATTTTGGGGGGCGTTTAGATGGCAGAGACAGGACACTGTTAAAAAATAGCTTATCATATGACATCTGGTATGCTGTTGATCTCCTACTTCTAAGATATATACTGTCAGATTCTCAGCAAAGATATCCACAGTAGCAATGACAAAAGGCTACACAAATAAAAATACCATACTCCATAAATCACGTGAATACATGTAAGCTAGTAGGAAAAAGAAATAGAAAGGTGATAGACAAATTTCGAAACATAGTTCACTTTATTTGATCAGAGTAAAAGTTAAATGATGAACCAAACAAAAGAAAATGATGGCAAACCAATAAACATGCAGTAATTACTTACATTATCATGATCTTTGGCCACTACTAATAAAAAGCTTACTTTTTGTAATGCAATTAATTTGACAAGGGATTCTTTTACCACAATCTCAAGTTCTCTTACCTCTATAAAATTCCGTAGTAAACAATATTATCGGCCAAAACCCAAACAAGAAAGATAGTCTCAAGTAAAAAATTTAGATGAATTAGTTCGTTACTTATATAATGTTTTAAATAACTGACCTCGTATTGAGGCCAACACCACCCCGAACAAGTTGCGTGAGACGAGGGATCAATTGATCAAGTGATTCAATATCCACTATATTAATACACAGATCAAGAGTTTCCCACATTGGAGAGCCTTTCGAGATTGAAATTCGTAAATTTTCAAGTTTCTCCGTTTCTATGCCAATATTGGCAGCATGCAACTGAAACATGAAAAAATTATATTTAATACGATTTCAGGACAAGGTGAAGATTTAAACTGAAGTTGCTGACAGTAAATGATACCTCAACATAGTTAAGTCCTTGGTCTTCAAGACTAGACAAACTTTCCAACATACAGCAAACTAGGTCGGACAAATGTGGACGGAGGGCAACTCCTGCACCCTGCAAACGGAAACAAATAGCAAAAAATCACTGAGAGGATCATAAATATTTCCGTGGAGGACATTCAGTTGATCAAAACCAGCAAGTAATTTTAACATGTTACGTGATGCATAACAAGTACAGAAAATGAAATCATATACAGTTCATATTGATTAATTATTTCATGTTTGTAGTCAAACTGAAAGAACAAACCAACACAAGGTTAAGTTCTGCAATCTAAGGTTAAGTTCTGCAATCTAGGTTTACTGATTACTCAACTGTATTGAAATAAAATTAAAATGTACCACTACCAATGTCACCAGAATAATCTCTGAGAAAAAGGCATGATATGGAAATATACTACCAGGAGACAAATTGGTCTTATATGAGCACAACTCTCTTAGATCATCAATCTACCAAAGTTAGGGCTAACCTTTGCAAGCTTCATAACAACTCCAATTGAAGCCTTACGTACACTGGTGACTTTACTCATTATTCCTTCGGAAAGCAAAAAAGGAAGAACAATATCCATTGCTTGTTTTGCATCTGCTAGTTCGGTAAGCGTGACATCACAGATCCTTATCGTTAAGGATGTCACAGCACGACATAACTTATCACCAGCATTTCTCACAGTCTCTTTAATGTCATCCATAGCTCGGAAGGCAGCTATCCATAGTTTTTTCAAATGCTCCTTGACCTTTTAATAACATAAAGGCGTGAAAAAAGAATACCACTTAGAAAATCTGATAGACCAACAATGTTTACATACAAGATAGAAACAACCACGAAGCTGGGGGAATATATATATCCTATACTTCACTACAAGCTGGTTCAGGATGCCAATGCAGTATGCAGAGCCGAAGCACTAGAATTAGTGTTCAAGATATGGAGTTTAAGTTCATACATGCACTAGAATTTACCGATGCAGTATGCAGAGCCGAAGCAACAGGAAATTTCATTTAAATTGTCTATTAGAATAAGAAGATCCCACCTGGTCAAATTTCCGCCCTTGAATAATATCAGCAAGAGCCAAACAGGATGCCTCACGGGAGCGCCAAAGCCGTGAACCACATTGTACTAGCAGATCATCGAAGATGTGATTCAAATGTTCATCGACAGCTTTCTTCGGGTCTTGTATCAGTGCTTTCCAAATGTGTGCCATCGCATCCTGCCAAGATTACATGAAAAGTAGCAATTACTAAAAGAAGCAAACAAACGCTATGGCAACCTTTTATGACAAGATGAACCGCCAGGCAGGAGTAAGTGATATCACTTATACAGCTATAATTTTGGTGGTTTCATGTAAAACAAAGGGGCTTAATTCAACAAAAGAAAAAACAAAGAAAAAACAAAGAAAAAAGACACATGACTAAAGTGATTTATGCAGCTTGTAGAAGTGCAACAGCTAAATATTTCTCGTGTTAAACTAGAATAATCTACTTATTTATATACAGGAAAGAAAAAATGCTTTTCAATGCTGGAAATGGTGTCACTCAGTTCAGTTTAAACAAGCCAATTTTTAGTCGCGAGACCAGTGATGAATATATAGCTTGGATACGCTGAAATAGACTAACAGCACAGACTGAACCATGAAATAATGAGCATTTTAAGATGAATAGGGCCCCTGATTGAATAACGCCAGCCAATACCAGATCAATATTCCGAAAACGTAGAAATCCTACCTGCACATTTTTGTCAGGATCATATTGGTAACGAATCAACCTCGGAATCAACAGTCGCAAATGTGGTCGAAGAGCATCTCCTGCTTGCTTGGCTATCTTGGAGAACCCAAAAGCAGCTCCTCTCTTTGAGTTAAGAGAAGCTTGGTGATTGGCTAAGTCCATAAATTTGTAAATTAAATCAGGTTGCCCCATTTCATTTGCAAGATTACAAAGCTCCTTGTAAGTGCTAATCTTCCCTCCACTGGGACTCTCACCGATAGTTCCCTCTTGAAACACTTCAGACTCCTCAACAAGCTGGATAACAAAAATTCTTGAGGAACAAATACAAAAACTGAAGTACCTGTCCTGAAGGAAGGAAGGACCTAGATGGATAGATTACCTTTATAGCTCGTTTTCTTTTGCTTGTGCCAGTTAGAGTATTTACCAGAGCATCTACCAGGCTTTTCTTCATTGATGCATCACCAAGTTCATAGATGATGCTCATGCCCTGGGATGCCAGCTCCTGTGTAAGTTCATTCTGGTCACCTAACAAATGTGAGAAAGCTTCCTGCGAAAAAATAGTTTAGTTAAACAGCGGTTTGTAGAAGTTCGATAAATTGTGGAGTTGACAATATAGCACAAGATGGTCATGGGGCTTTTGTGATAAAATAGTAATTGATATAACAGTTCCAGGCTCCAAATGGGTAATGCATATAATTTAACTGGAATGACAATGCTCCTAATTTTTCTTATAGTTGTGATGGTGCAGGGGCGGGTTACAACAGCAAAGAATCTTCCCATTACAGCTCGCTAACCTGGATTTTAGGAAGCATTATTTGGATTGATGGCTGCTGGCCACAGTACATGGTCAAAGACAGCATCCACACAGTTCCAGCACATCGTTCCTCCTTCCTGCTACTATACAGAAGAGTGTCAAAGAGTTTTCCAGTAATTGTTTCTCTGGTTATGGTACGGCTATCTTCCTCAGAATCAGTTTTGACATCAGACAAAGATTTAACTTCTTTCATCAGAAAATTTGAGTCCGTCGAAAGAGAAGTATAATTAGTTTTCAGAATCATATCAGCAGTAACTGGTACACCACCCCAGAGGAAAGATAGCGCCTCACCCGCAGCAAACAAAATTTCTTCAGCCTGGCCACAACCAAATGTACAAAATTTAGAGGTTTACTCAGCTCTACTTGAATTCTTCCGGATCTAATAATAAGGACAGAGGGCAGTGGCTTTGCGAACAATATTACAAACCCACCTTTGACCGTGAAAGGCTAAATAAAAGATCAAGCGCTATTTTCAAGTGCGAAGATGACGTTTCATTTGAACAGATATGTCCAAGAGAAAGAGCAATTTTCTGAACTGATTTTATATCATCACCAGATAGTAGCTTGCTCAATCTTTCTTGAAGAACTTCCAGCACTTGAGTCCCTGATAGAGCAAGTCAGTCAATCAACTGAAAACTCGCATACATGTTACAGACAAGCTCTTGGAATAAACTGACCTGGACTAGAATCATTAACAAGAAGAGGTAATGCGCCACAAATCCCAATATGACCCAAAGCTTCCATAGCAACAGAAGCCAGTGGTGCAGTCTCTAAATTAACAACATCCCCCAAACATTTAACCGCATTTTGAGTAACTGCTTCAGAAACCTGCTTTACGGAAAATCCTAATCATGATACTATAAAATATTAAAAATATGTAGCCAATTCAAAAACAGTTGTAAACATGTGTTAAGCTGGAATGTGATTTAACATTAACACAGAAGATTTAGCCCGTGATTGGTTGGTGTCAATATTTACAGACAGACAAGTGCAGATTATCAATAAATTATCACATTTGACTGACATCCACTAAAACGGAATCCAAGATGAATCAAGACACCTGAAGTAAGACATATCGGACTTCTGCATTAGCTTTTTTATTGATCTCAAGCAAATTTTGAAAGGTGGAAATGGAGACAACAAATGAGACGAAAAAAAAAGGAACAGCACCTCCATAATTGTTCAGTAATTCGAAGGCAAGAAATGCCAGAGGGAGAAGTGTATTCACCAAAATTACCAAGCAATGTCAACGTATACTTACTTTCTTTTTCCAAATTGCAAATAAGTTCTTTTCAAATGACTTATTAGTATTACTATGTGAAGTAAGCTACCTCCTATTTGAAAAATGTTCCTAACCAAAAGAGCTTCGATGTTAATGTTAAATACGTGACTTAGTATGTCCAAGTAACTAAATAGTCAAGTATAGGCAGTAACTGTATCTAGGTGTCATATCACAAGCTAATTAGATGCAATATAAAAGGAGACACATGCAGTATTCAGATTCCTAGAACCAAGGTTTCCACCATACTTATGATACAACCAATGAGTTACAAAAAAATCACACTAACTTACAGTGGGGATTCTATGTAAACAGTGTGCTGAAACAAATCCTACAGCGCATAATCCCCCATGCTGTGCCTCAAACCTAAGAAAGCAGGAGGTTAGCTCTAAGAATTCTGCAACCAGAAGCCTTGTTGTAATCAGATTCTAAAAGAAGTGCACAACACCTTAACTTCTGCGGTTGGGAAATTGAAGATATCAATTCAGAGAGCAAGGAACATGATTCAGCATCAGACAGAGCACAGGATGCCATTCCGAGTAATCGTGATACAGATTCACGAGTACTCAAGTCTGTATGACTAAGCAGACTTCTTAGCCACACAATTTTTCGGGAAAAGTAAAGTTCAACCATCTTCACGCAAAGAAAAAAAAGGAAGGTGAGTGGCTTAACTTAAAAGAGATTTGAACTGCTATAGAAAATGGGAGAATTAAAAGGATGAAGAATTATTTTAGAAAGCATACCTCCGGAAGGTAAGAGCCAACTGAAACCAATGCTTTAGAAGCACAAGCATGCAGTTCAGCCGAGCCTTCGAATGCCAAGGAATGTTCCAACAAAGAACACATTTTTTGTGCGGAATCCAAAAATTCAGTCCCTACTGCCTGGGTATTGCTCTCCTCCATCTCTAACTCAAAACACTTCACTAAAAACTTTATCATGACCAGATATACTTGCGAGGGAAAGAGAAGCTTCTGGCTTCTCATTTCTGAAGAATCTACCAGTTTTGGCTGTTGCTTGAGAATGTACTCCAGCATCTCATTAAATTTTGGGTATTTATGGTTATGATTAGAGACTATACTGCGACCTTCTTCTTTCAGAAAGAGTCCTTCGAGTGCTATTTCCCTGAAAGCAGAAAAAATGAATAAGTACACATCACTTCAATGTATAGCAAGAACAAGAATCAAATGAAGCATTGAAGATTATGTCATGATGAATCCACGGATGAGGATGTTTAAGTATGAAAGTCATTTCTTAATATCATAGAGATTTTGGTAGTCCGTCAAATGTCTAACCTAAGACAGATTGAACTCACAAATGTGCTACAAACTTAGAAGGAATAGATCCCAATTTGAATACCCTCCATTCGTGTGTGGGTTGCTAGGGCGTTTCATGTGTTGGTTTCGATGTCAGCTTTGATATATTATAAAATATGTGTACATATAGGGCGAATCCATCGGGAGAAAAAAAAACTGAATTGGAGAGCGTTCTTCAGAAACAGTCAACATACATTTTACGCAATTCACCATGCCACAGTCACAACAATAAGCAATGAGATATAATAAACTTCCTGTACCTTATATCTAGCTTCGGATCTGCTGCGCTCAGCATGCAAATATAGAGACTTGGACAATGTTGTGAATTATACAAAGAAGTTGCCCATCGCAAAGCACAAAAGCGAGCTTCATTTTGTTCCTGGTCAATATAAGCCATAAAGATACTAGATTTTATAAACCCCTGATACTTTGGTACCAAAATCATCTTGAAATAGTATACAAAAAGAGAGGAAAAAAAAAAAGAATATACATACCGTCAGAGAATTTGCTAGCAGAAGCACCTCTAAGTCTCTGAGAATATTCTCTGGGGCGTCCTAAAGAAACAAATACCAATACTGACATGGTGAGCCACCAAATGAATGCAAAAACTAAAAGAAAATCATAAGGACCAAAATAGAAAATGAATGATAATTTGTCCACATAATGTTAAAGTAGCACACCTTGTATGCAGCAGCAAGAGAAATTATTGCCTCCTGGATGGTTGAACGAAGAGATTGGGTTTCTAACTTCAGCGCATCAAAAAGACGAACAGCCATTTCAGTCTTTTCTCTGAAAGTTAAGTTTACAACAAACAAAATGTGTGTTAAATGACATCAAAATAAGTGTAGGGCAGAGAAGAGAGAAGTCCTTACCTAAAAAGCTGGGGCAAACGTTGTGCAAGTAAACCAATAGCTTGAAAAGAAAATATTTTGGTCTCCCTTGATAGAGCATCTGAATGAAAGCATGTAACATATCTACTTAAATTCTCATTTGAACACTTGCATAAGGAGACTCGCGACTTTTTTTCTTATAAAAAGCTGACCTGTTTCTGAGCCTGTAGAACCATCAAGCATTTTTAGAATAGCATTCAGTATAACAGGTCCCATAAGTTTCAACTGATCTATCTTCCCCTGCATTTTAAACAAGTCCAGTGATGTAAGCATAACATACTCAAAAACAAAGACTCTAAAGACCAAACAAAAAGAAAAGAAAAAAAAAAGAGAAAGGCCATTGTCGGTATGGTCCTCCATGGAATTTTCCATTAAAACATCTACGATTGAGTTGAGCAGAAAATATTTGAGTTATTTCTTCACAAAAAGAATAAATAGATATTTGCGTTCATACTGTCTGCTTTTACACAAAACAAACATAACTGCAGGCTGAAGTATAGAAAAATTTATCTTTACATGCTTAAAAACCCACACGGTGAACTCCATTCCCATTTGCTTTAGCCTTAAGGTTGTTCCACTGCCTGTCCCATCAAAACAAGTAGATAGCGAAAACACTAAGTAATCAACATGAAAATTAAATAAAGAAACCAACAGGTAGTTTAATTTTTAACTGCACCAAGCGACAAAAGAATTCATTGATCCTTCATAATAGAATCCTTTTAAAAGAGAAACTAGCGTCATGAACAAGCCAAATGATTCTTCTTACAATAGTCAAAGCAGATACCGTTTACTTTTTCTTAGAAGCTTGCAATGTCTTCCGTGCAATCAATTTGTATGAATTAGATTGACTATAAAAAACTTACAAAGAAACCATATATTTTCATTATCTAACTAAACTGACATACATACAGACCATGGTCACAGAAAAAGTTTACTATTATACAGTTCAGTTTAAAAGTATATCATATATTAAACCAACATACCATACATGCAGCCAAATATGCACTGCAATGTTGCAGGAAAACTATTTGCAGCTGCAATGGACCGACAGAAACCAGACATGAGCTTCATTTTCAAGGATATATTTCCTGGAGCTACATTATGTTCCGGAGCAACATTTTCAGTGCCTGTAGTGCCTGCGTGCATATCAATTTGATGAGTGGCAATTTAGCATGGACAAAGGAAGACAAATAAAATTCCCAAACACGAGAAGACACCCTCAACACTACAGATCTCCCAAAATTTATACGAATCTGTTTCCACATCAGACATGGCAAATTTGCAATAGTCTGCATACTAGATGGGGAGCTCTAGTCATGTCATCCACAAGTAACAAAAGAGAAGTTATTTTCAACTATTTAAACTAGCAGAAGACATTGACTTGATTCTATATGCTAGAAATAGCTTAAGTAATATCATTGTTAAGCTATTCTGAGAATATATATAATTTGAGTGTCCAAAAATCTCATCAAAATGTTGAAAAATCAAAGATTACGTACCATTGAATAGTATGAACAGTCTGTTTATCAACTTGGGATCATCCAAATTTGTTCCAGAAGCTATCTTTTTTAGAAGCTCTTCCCCTCTCTTAGCTACAGGTTCTTGACTTGAATTTTCACCAACAAATCCATACCAACTCTCAGAGACATGAATAGTAGATATAAAGTGCACGAAGGGTAGTGATAAAATAGTATATCATGTCATGTGATAATAACAAAGCATGTCATGCGGGGAAAACACAAAGCGTACCTATCCACTGATGCAGCAATGTACAATGGATATACAGATTCACCAGGCAGGTCCATGGTTCCAATGACATTCAAGATCCCCAACTGCTTAAGAAATTGATCAATTTTAGAAAATGGTAGTTCTTAGTGACCAATGTATAGCTTGGCAGCTATAGAACCCAGAAAGAGATAAATTTGGAGTTAAATAACAGACCTTTCGTTTTGTAAGTATGTCTCCTTTTAATGCTTGTTTTCCGATTATACGATTAACTTGAAATACTGAAAGCCCAGGAGAAGATCCACCTCTGAATAATAAGGTCGAGCAACTCTTCTTAGATGCAATAATAACACAAGACGGTCGAACAATGCTCAAAATGGATTCCATACCCTTGAGAAGATGGTTGATACAAAAGCATATGAAGGCAAAAATCCAGAAACAAGTCTTTATCCTGAGAAGTAATCAGAGATCTATACTTCGCAGAGACATCATCACTGATCTTGCTTGCATGACATTCTCCAATGACCTGGAAACCAACCAGTTAAAATTTGAGGATATTGTAAGGCAAATTATTGTATGAAGTGCAAATAGATTTTTTTAAAATTGTTATCTATCCAATGGTCTTCTCCTGCGTTTTATAATACGCAGCACTAGCCACTAAAAAAGAGAAATCCATAAAATAGGGGAAAAAAAAATGCAAAAGGATCACACAAACAACAGCACGAAGAAAAAATAAAGCAAACATATAGTGGTCATAAGATAAACATCCAAATTCACACTAAAGGAGGAGCTGAGAGACCACCTTAATAGCAATTCTCAAAATAATCTCTTGATGCTGCTTAGGAAGCTTTGAAACATTCTCCAGTGTATTAGGTGCAATTTCCTCCCTTTCCTAATAAACTCAACAGAAATCAGTCCTCTCATTTCCACAGTATCAACAAGCAAACGCAAATTCCAACAGCTAATAAGATGAACCAAACCTTGGCAGGAGCTCGTTCAAAAGCCATCTCAACATAGACAATAGCAAAGTTCCTAACCATAGGAGCAGCAGCAGGATCGGTGTACAATTTCCATAAAGCCAACAAAGGCAAACCAATTTCATGCTGATGCTTCACTCTCTTGTTAACATGACTCAGTATCTCAAGAACCTGCCAAAATGATAAATAAACACGCACTGAGACTAGAATTTTGCCCACCCTAATTTCTATAACATTCCAGTAGGATTAATTCAACATATAACAACTTTTCCTCGTACGCTTCAAAATCATCAAACACTAAATTCAATAGAAGAGCAAATTCTCGTACTGAGACTCAAATTCATGATTCTCACCACCAGTTTCTATAAAATTCAAGTAACATATAACAACTCTTGCTCGTAAAATTTGAAATCATCAATCAAACACTAAATTCAGTGGAAGAGCTCGTAAATCTCTGACTTGCCTTGTTTCGAACAACTGGAGATTGAGAAGACAGAGAAGATATGGTAAGAGGAAGGAGGTTAGAGACTAGGGATTCGAGCTTGGAGTCGTCGCAAAGAGCGAGTCTCGTCAGCATCCGATCGAGCATTTCCTCCAATTCACCGTCCGATTTGGAGATTAACGAAGACGAAGATGAAGAACCTGCCATAGCTAATCTCCGAATTTCTGGAGTTGCAGAGATTTATCAGTGCTTCCTTTGCTTCTTCTTCGGTTCTTCTCTTCTTATGCTTTTCCTTAGTCCCTCCCGTCTTGGCGGACAAGAGAACTATGGCTGATGTAAACGGCGTCGTCTTGTATCCCATCTCTATTCTCTACTTAGAAGACAAAAGACTCCCTTAGGCATATTGGGCCTTATGTTCCACATCACAGCCCAGCCCGCATTTGCCATTTTTCTCGCAGTCCGACCCAAGAAAGCGTGGCGTGTGCGTATCATGATGTGTATTCATTCCGGTATTCCCACATGAACTCTGTTTGTTGTTTTGAGTAATTTTAGACGTGTTTATAAGTTAGAAAATATATGTGGTAAGTTAACAATTTACTTAATTTTTTTTTTGTTTTTTTTAGGATAGAGATGATAGAAGAGTTAGAGAAGATGGCTAACCTCGAATCAGGGCCGGTTCAATGGAACCGGAGTCCCTGTACAAAATTTTAAAATTGGCCTTTTTTTAATATTAAATTTTTTTTACCCAACCATAGACCTACATATATGTAAAAGATAAAAGATATGTAAAAATTTGGACCCTTTTAACAACATAATTACAAAAAAAATAAGAGTATTTGGGCCCTTTTAACAACATAGTTAGACCAAATGCAATAGCAAGGCAAATAGGGTGTATTTTCATTCAATAGGAAGGCAAATCCAAAAGGCAAAATGCCAACTCAATCGAGAAAGGCAAATTTTGCCTTCCATGAAATTCTGACGGATCCCACATAACTTTTGACGTGGCAGCTTGTGATTCGCTCGCTGTTTTTTTTTTTTCTTTTTTTTTTTCATTCTTCTTATGCTATTTTTGCTCAATAATTGATCAAAAATAAATAAAAAAATTTATACCATTATTTTTTATTTTTTAACATCTATAAATAGAGACTACGTTTATATCATTTGGACACCAAAAAAAAATCTCAAGTTTTAACACTATCTTATGATGGAGTGATGTGGAAGAAAGAGAAAATGAGTTGGAGGAAAGAGAAAATGATTTGCCTTTCTATTGTAGAGTTGGGTGTGAAATAAAAAAATGAAATGATGTGGAAGAAGAATAAAATGATGTGGAAAGAATATAGAGGAGAAATTTGCCTTCCTACTGGAGATGGTCTTACAAAAGAAAAAAAAAATTTGGACCCTTAAATTTACCCAAAACAATTTGGACTAGGGGCGGAGCTACATAGATGTTAATGGGGTCAATTGACCCCAATAAAATTTTATATTTTAAACTTTTCCTTATTGATATCAAAGAGTAAGTTAGATCAAATGGCTAAAATTCCCATAATTGACCCCATCAACATGTGTTTGCATCCCATTTGACCCCAATAAAAACACAGTCTAGCTCCGCCACTGATTTGGACCCTGCACATATGTTCCATTTGCTCCCCTCAAGCGTCGGCCCTGACCTCAACATACCAAAGGACTTGGCTAGTAAAGAAGATAAGAACTATTTGGTTGATGCATATGTGAGGCTTGATGTCATCTCTTGGATAAGGTAAAACTCTTTTGTCTCCTTGCTCGTTTTCTTGAAAACTAAAATGTTGTATGTTTTTGCTTGTAGGTTGCAGCTTGTTTGAAAGTATCTTAAAGAGACTTGTGTGAACACAACTTTTATTGTACTCGATTCAGTTATCATGAGTCCCTTGGCAAATATCATGGATAAAACAATGTTTTGATCGAAGCATTCTAGTTTAATATCGATAAACGTGAGGTAGGTAGAAGATGATGATGTATTTGACTTATCACACTTCTTTTCTTTGAATTTTGACTTATCACACACTACACTGGACTGTAGCTTTACATTGGTTACAACGAATTGAATGATCCTGAGTTTCCGTCTGGGTACTTTCACATAAAATTTTGTTTTCTAGATGATCTTTCTAAAAGATAGATTTGGTGAACTCGAACAATCTTTCTAGTTACTTCGTTCTTTATTCACAGGGTTCAACAAGCAATCGATATTTCACGATTCGTGATTAACTGTTATCACCTTGATCGTTGATTAGTCCCTGATCGTTGATTATATTTATAAATTTTTCACCCCTTTCTGATGTTAATAACTTGGAACTAGTTATCTTTCTCTATTTCTTAAAAAAAAAATTCAATTGAAACTTAGGGGAAGTACTTTAGAAACATATGTATTAAAAAAAACATATTTTATTGAGTCCTCTGGAACAATTAGAGATTGTCTAGAAGAAATACGGGGTTCTGGCGACAACATGCTATGGGGTGGTGATCCCGCTTATGGTCATCCCTGTAGAAATTGGATGAGCTGAGTTATAGACATGAAAACATAAGAACTTAATGGGGCCCAACTCTTCCTTCTTTGTCTGATTCGAGGGGGTCCGTTGACCTGCTAATAATCAGAACAAATTTTTATCGTGTTTTTGAAAAATGAACTTAATTAGATTAGTAGCTTACGAATATATAGTATTTTTTAACCTTTCAAAGATAAAATAAAAAAAGGGAAATCACTCAATTCCCTTTTCATGCTTCCCTGGCTAACACAATATTTTTTTTATCATTAGATCTATCATTAAAATTTTAAATTAGGCCGACCTATACTATAATAGAACCCCCATAGGGGTCTATCAATAACATCGTGCATTGCACGGTGGATGTGAAGAAATAGGCCATTATCTCGGCAATAATGAGACAAACTAGTATTTGACTATTCATGATTCCATAATTGAATCAATTACACAAACTAGAGGAATATTATGGTAAAACTTCGTTTAAAACGATGTGGTAGAAAGCAACATGCGACTTGAATTGAAGGACATTATCAGTTGTGGATTTTTTCATCCGCCACTTTTTATATAGGAATATAGGTGCTCTTGGCTCAATTATTCAACCATTTAATTTTACCAAGTTCAATGTTAGCCAGATTAGTCAACATTTATATGTTTCGATGCAACAACAAGATGTTATTTGTAACATTTGAAGTAAAACATCCGAAACTTTTTTGAAAAGAGAGCAGCATCATTAGAAGGAACATCTGTTATTGTTTTGTTTTGTTCGAATATCTTTAGGATGAACGAATATCTAAAAATCAGTTTATGTTTAGTTTCTTTCAATTTTGATGTAGATATTTTCTAATATAGAAACTTTAAAGGGTGAATTTGCGCAGAGACGTTATTAAGACATCAAATTAGCTAAAAGACATTAGTAGGAATCGTCTGGAACAAGAAGAAAATAAAATAGATGTATGGGTCTCGAGTTTCGTTTAATAACGAAAATACCAGAGCTTTAAATATGCATGCGCGTGATGGAGTTTGTTATGCTTTTAAAGCATCCAAAAAACAACCTGCCTTGCATTAAATGCTTCCACGAGAAATGTTGTCGCTGCATAGAAAAAAAGAAGGAAGTGACGGATATTAAATGCAAACGGATTTAAACAACTAACATAGTTGCAATGGACATCCAATAAATAGGTTTTCGAGCGTACATGGAACGTTATTAACATTTGTATACCTGTAAATACGTCTATAGAGCGCTATTAGCATTTATATACTTGTCGTTTCAGACATCAGAAATGACAACTGTTTGGATATTTATATAATATGTTAACAGTAAAGAAATTTGTGTACTTTAAGCGGTAAAGAAAGAGATGGTCATGCATATATATAAATAAAGTACAAAGAAAAGTAAATGTATAACTAACCTCATTTTCACCTCGAGAACGACAAAAAGCACAACATTTATTTCATGCAATAGGCTGACTAGGAACTCAAGCGCGTGGGGGCTAAAGTGGACAACATAAGGGGCTAAATATTTTTAATGTCCTTGACCTTGTGTCAGATTACTAGAAAACTAATTTGCTCTTTCAATAATGTTTCTCACCCAATTATCTCAACTTTAAATTGCATAATCCGATTTAGATTGCTATGAGTTGTGAAAAAGTATTGATCCTTTGATTTTTTCAGTGTGATCTACGTCAGTTTTATATGTTCCTTTAAAAGTGACTTCTCCTTTGTGCAACTCTTACATTGTCGGTCCATCACAACCACTCTCATTCCTCCGCCTCTAACATACATACTATTTTCATCACCGCCAACTAACAATCCATCACAATCACCGCAATTTCTAACTTACTACATTCACTTCCAACACCACTACCACCAAATCTTTATTATACAACCACCAACTCAAACTGAATTTGTAACAAAAAAAAAAATTTTAATTTTGGACACTAAAATCAACCAAAAAATGTAAAGTTATTTTTCATTTTCATATATGAATATATAATGATATATATTAATAAAACTTGATATATCTATATATCACGATATCCTGGAATATATCATAATATATATTGACAAATCATGATATATGTTATGATATATATTAATATATCATGATATGTATTTATAAACTTTGATATATATTAATATATCATGATATATATATATATATAACACGATATTGTAACATATATCATAATATATATTGAGATATGATGATATATGTTATAATATATATCATATATAAACAACTTTTTTATAGAATATTACGATGTATGATATATATTCATATTTCCGATAATAAAAAAAAAGATATCACGACACATAATTCCGTAGCATAATTTACTATCGATGCACGCATTTACTATCGATGCACGATATCTCCCGCTTTTAATTTCAGGGGCATTTTCGTCTATATTTTATTGCACCCACAAGTTCTCTTTCTTCTCTTGCAAATAACGAAAATTCATATCCTGTTTCTCAATTATTTCTCAAAAAAGTGGTATGAAGCTAATTGTCTCTTTTTTTTTTGAAAAATTATCCTAAAAAGTAGTACTTAAGAATATGAGAAGTGATGGCTTCTTTTGCTTATGAGTTAAACTAAGTCTTAAAAGTTAAATTTAAAAGAGGTTTTAATGGGTTATTTACTAGGGACATTTGATAGATATTATTTCTTTCTTAATTCTATTTTGAGGGTATGTTTTTTTTCTTTTCTTTGTCAATGAGTTATAGAAGTAAAACAGATCAGACAATAATAATTTGCAAGACAATCCATCATATAAACC